TTTTTTTCTGTAATGTGATAGGCCTGCTAGAAAAAACATCTTTCATTCATTATATTGGCAAAACTAAAAAGACTGATAATATGAAGTGTTAGGGAAGATGTGGGGAAATGCGCACAGTCATACATGACTAATTGGAGGATAATTCCATATAGCATTTTTTGGAGAGTAAGATAGATTATAAATATTTATTTTAAAGATAAAAAATTTTTAAAAATATGTCCTTTGACCCATCAGTTGTCCTTGATGGCTACCCTACAGAAATTATTGCCCACATGCTCAGAGAAGCACATCCAAAGATGCTTTGGCTTCCTTACTCAAGCATTTCAACTGACACTAAAAGCTAAATCAGCCACCAAGAGAGGAATGGCCAGATAAAACTGCTCCATCCCTCTGGTGGCTCACACTACGGCGAGGGAGGGTCAGAGTACCTAGCATGATCCCTGAGACATGGTAGAGGAGGAGAGACCCAGGCTGCAGATAGACTGGCTAAGCAGGCAGGACCCCTGTCATGTTTATAGCCGTCCACACACACAACCCTGCATATAGTCTGTGTCTCTAGGTATGGAAACGCCCCAAGAGGGGCTGGCACCCCCAGACTCCTTAGAGAGGTAAGAGGGAGAGAAACATGGCATGGGCCTCTGAGGGCATCACTCCTGTTTGATTTTTTAATGACAAGAATAATAGCAAGTGGGGAGGATACAGCTCATTGGCAGAGTGCGTGCTTAGCATGTACAAGGTCCTGGGTTCAATCCCCAGTCCCTCCGATAAAAATAAATAAATAAGTAAACCTGATTACCCCTGCCCAAAATTAAAAAAAAAATAAGCATAAATCATTTGTATAGCTGAAAAAAAAACAAAAAGCTGCCTAGTTTGTCATGGAAAAGTCCAGTGAGATCTCCCCAGGCAATCACTTGTGAGGAGGGTCATGCTTCTAACCGCTCTGGGACATGCAACCAACCACACTGCTGTCTTCAAGGTAGAAAATAAAAACACAGACCTTTTTGTGTTGCCACCTTGCCTTGCAATCTGCCACTGCCTGTCCAGATATTGGGGTCTAGATGCTCCCCAGTCACACCTTAGGGCTCTCCTACTCCTCCAGTTGTCCCCTCTAGGAAACTGCCCCCGTAGACCCAGGGGTAGGGGCTCTCACCTGGGAGGTCAAGGGCCACGGCCCGGTAGCCCCTCTGTGCCAGCAGCTGCAGCGTGCCCAGCTTTTCCCATGTGTAGGAGTTAAAGGCCTTTCCGTGGAGCAGTACCACATCCAACCTGTGGGTAGGCACACAGGGGAATGTGTGTTCTGGGGGTCTGGGAGTGGCCCATGGTTCTTTCGTCCTAGGCTTCTCCCACAGCCCGCCTTCCCAGGCCCTGAGCACCCTGAATTAAGCTGCGGGTTCCACAAAGGGACTCCCCTTGGGCCTAGTCCTGGCACTATGCCCTGGGGTCAGCACCCACCTGCGGGCCCGGTGGAATGGGATCACCTCGCGGTAAAAAATGGGGGCGTTGCCAGGGGTGAAACCAGCCAGGATCGTGACATTGGGATCTCTCCAGAGCCAGGAGGTCTGGTCAGGGGGTCCTGGCAGTCCCATGTATAGTAGCAGCATGAGCAGCAGGCCCAGGCCCAGCAGGGCTACCTGGGACCGGCTCATGGAGGTCTGAACCAGTCTGTAGGAGGAGAGGAGAGGGAGAAGAGGGTAGGGCTGAGATCCACAAGGCCCCCTGAACTCTTCCTCAAACCCCACCCAGAAGTCCCCGGAGAGGAAAAGCTCAGCCCTTGCCCTTTCTCCTGCTCTGGGCAAGGGTCTGAGGGTTCACACCCACTACTCCACATGCCAGGGCAAGGGCTCAGATACCCCACAGCATGAGGAGCATCTGAGATGTCCCCCTAGCATCGGTGCCCACCATTATCCTTGTGCCAGCTGAAACCACTTCCACTCATCAAGAGCTTCTGACAACCAGGCTCTGTCCTTGGCCCTTCACATGTAATGCCTCATGAATCCAATTAAGAATGCTGTGGAGCAGATATGACTATAGTCCTCCAACAAATGAGGAAACTGAAGTTCAGAGAGGTAAATTCTCTTGCCCAACGTGCAGAGTAGCCAGTAGGGGAACTGGGACTTGAGCCCAGGTCTGGCTTCCTAACCACCAGGCCACACTTGGTTTGCCAAGATGGAAACCTGAGCTGGGAGGTGATGGATGAACGGGAGCCTTGCTAGTGGGATGGGAGTTGGTAGGGTTATTAAAGGTGAAAGGCAGTAAAAGGTAAAAGCATGTTTGGAAATGGTTCTTTTTATCACACTGCATATAACAATGCTAAAATCAGAATGTGTTTTATAATTGAAGGGAATATCTAATACTCTACCCCAGCTAATATTAAGTGGGAGGGCAGATTATGGAGAATATCCTTGATGGAGGAAGTGCCTAGGCACGAGGGGGTGTGAGGCTAGGGAGGAGCATGGCCCACCTAGAAACAGAAAGGGCAGCATGGAGGCTGGAGAGACGAATGCATCCCACCCCCGAGCTTCATGCCAAATGACCTGCTTCGTGGGCTCCTCCAGTCTGGATCCTTTGCCAGCTCAGAAGACAGACCTCAGGATCCAGGACCCAGGCAGAGCAGTTAGCCCTGCCTTTGAGATTCTGCTCTTTCAATTTCTGGCTATGTGCCTTCAGTTTGTCAATAAAACGGGGGTGACAACTTCATGGCTGCCTTCCCAAGCTTCCTGTGAGATTTCAATAATACAGTGAACTTGATGGGGGCTGTTGGGTCATCATGTCTTGGGTCTAGGATGAGCGGGCCTGCCTTGTTCCCAGATTCCAGTAAACACATCTTTAATAAGTGCCAACTGGGAGCTGGGGAATCGCCTATGCCCTACCACCTCTCCCAGAAGCTTTGGGGATGTTTCCCAAGCCCCACCCCCAGGAGTCAGGGTTAGGTGGTGACTGGGCAGTGGCAGGCCGACTAGGGCTAATGGAAACCCAGCAGCTGGGTGGAGGAAGAGCGGGCTCCTCTCTTCTTTCTGACTGTAACCAGCCAGACTCGCATGCAAGCCTCCAACTGGTGTCACCCTAGGTTCCCACCAGGCCAAGCACACACGCTGAACCTCTCCTCGTGGTGGTCCTGGGGCACTGGGGCTTCTCTCCAGGAAGAGAGGGACGGGATTTGTTGCTCTGGTAACCCAGGCAGCTGGCACACTAGACAATATACTCTACAGATACGGGGGGAGGGGGGAGCTGTACCTGCGTTAGGTGCTTGGCATCCACGTTGACAATGACACATAGGTGTACACACAAACATTGAGTCTTGTCCCCAAACACTTCATTTATACAATCAATTCCCTGCACGTACACGCAGCTTCCTTGCACACGCGCGGGCCTGTGTGCAATCGATACTTGGAAATACACACCCTCAAAAATCACACACAGTCAGATACAGATAGACACACGCTTTCAAAATCATTTGCAGACCCTCATATTTCAAGCACACAGTCATACACACAACCCTAAAACTACACATGCTCACAAGAAACAGATGCACAGGCAGACAGATGGACCCCGCAAACACAGACCCTCAGAAATACACACACAGACTCTCAGGTAGAAACAGACCCTTAAAATCACACTCACACAGAAATACACACAGTAGACAGACACAGACACCAGCGGGCAGACAGACCCACACACTCTCCCAACGCAGGCACAGAGAAACACTAACACACAATACACTGACACACACGTACACCCAGACCCCCAAGAACACACGCCGACAAACGTTCGCGGGCGTGCGCGCACACACACACACACACACACCACACACGCGCGCGCGCACACACACACACACATCACACGAACATACGCAGACCCGCTGTCCAGGCGCGGCCCCTCCAGCAGGACTCTACCCCAAGGCGCCAGGACATGGGGCGGGGTAAGGACGGCCCGCCCCGGGCACCCTGCTGGCCTCACTCCCCGGGGACACTCACCCGGCCGACTGGGATGATCGACCGGTTCGGCCACCGCGGGGCGGGCTCAGCACAGGCGCAAACAGCCCCAGACAGCGCGGCGACCAGTGCGCTGCCTGCGCAGCTCTGCGGAAGGCTACCGGCAGGCGGAGAGCGCGGCCACTGAGGCGCGCTTGCGCAGTCCGCAGTCGTAGGGTCCGCGCCTTGTAGCCGCCTTGGAGAGGGGACTGGGGGTGGCGCCCCAACACAGCACACAGTCCTGGCCCCTCAGTCTAGATTTTCCAGATTGCTTTCGGGGAAGAACCACCCAGCTTCTTCCCACCAGGCTCCACCCATGCTCAGTTTCTGTTCTGTACAGTTGAGTTTAGGATAACGGTTATCTTAAGAGGACCATATAGGGTTGTCACCACCACGGAGGGTTGTATTAAGGACTTAGGGGCCTGTCAAACCTTAGAACAGTGTCCGGCGCGGAGGTCTCGCTGCATAACTGCCAGATATTAGTACCATTACGCAGCAGCCCCAGGTCTGAACCCAACCACTGCCCTGACTCCTACAAAATACACAGGTGGCACGCGTTCGGTCAAAACCCGGGGTGGCCTCTAGGCTCCTTCACGTCCCTATAGGTCACCTATCCTTGGCGACATATGACCAATATTTGGTCTTCCTCTGGCCTGTGCTGCGAGGCCCCGCACAGGGAGGCTGCAGGGAACCTACAGGGCTCACTTCTTATTAGCACTCTTTGAGGCAGGCAACATCACACCGATTCTACAGGCAAGGAAATTAGCTCGGAGGCGTTGGGAAAAAGATCAAGGCTGGACATCGGCAAAACTTCTCACTCAAACCTGTCGGGCCTCAACTGCGTGCCAGGCTCACAACTCCGGGCCAGGGCAGCCCAGGCTGAGATTGAGGAGGATAGGGAGAAAGGGTGCTGAGAGCAACAGGGATGAGACCACAAAGGAACCTTCTTTCTCAAGCCACACCATGTGCATGTGGGGCAGGTCGCTGAGGGTCTCAGGCGCGACCCAGCGCAGTGCTGGGAGCACGTGGGGCCGCTGTGAAAAGATGGGCGCAGCAGCACCCACCGGCCCTGCGACGGCATGTGACCACAAGAGGGAGTCTCGGAGCCGGGGCACGGCTTGGTCCCCGCCCTCCGGAGGGCCACATCCCCGCTCCAGCCCCTTCTCTGCTTCCCTGCCCCGGGCCCCAGTCGCCGCCTCCCCTCGCCGGCCTCCTGTCCGCGCAAGCCCACGCAGCTCCCCAGGTACCTGCCCCGCGCCCCCGACCCTCTCTTCCTCTCTCCAGCTAGAGCCCGCCCCCACCTATCCCAAGTTTCTGCCCTTCCCATATCGGCTCCCCAGGTCCCTTTTCTCGGGTCTGCCCCCACCCCTTCTGCGTGCGCCCTACCAGACCCAGCGAGCTAGAACCGAGGTCCTCGGAGGGGACAGAGCGAGCGGTGGTGGCGCCGGTGACCGCGCCCTTGACCGCGGCGTCAGTGCGTTGGGCCCCAGCGGGCAGCGTGTTGAGCACCCCGCGTCCCTTGCGGGCCGGAACTCCAAAGTCCCCACTCACCGCTCAGCGCTCTGGTTTCTGCCTCTGGAAAATAAGATTTTTTACTTCAGCCTCGACCCTCTCCGGCTTGCGGTGCCAACCCACGACCTGTAACAGTGTCTAGAAGAGGAAGAAGTTGATAAGCTATAGTCAGCTACTTAGAGTTGATTGAACATTGACTATGCTTACTACGGGCTAGGCACAGGCTGAGTGTTTTACGTGCCCGGCCTCATTCAATCCTATCAGCCGCCTATGAGCTGAGTACTATTTTGTTAGCCCCATTCGTAGAAAAGGATAATAACAATGAGAGCAATAATCGTAATGGGAGCCCCATGTATTGAGTTATTTCTAAGATTGGGCACCCTCACTTGTCGATTCCTTTTTTTTTAAACTGGTAAATTCTTGAGGTAGGCTTTAATGTCCCAAATTTCAGATGAGGAAACCAAGGCCCAAGGCTGCACGATTAGGTGAGTAGCAAAGGCAGAAATAACACCTCTGTCTTCCTCACCCTAGAGCGTGTTTGCAGAGTTCTGGGGGCCTCCTAGAGGCCTCCTTGTTGCTTCGGGAGGGACTCCCGCCCTCTCTGTGGCAGTCTTCCCGGTGCCACCCTGGGGCAGGGTGTTCCGGGGCTCCTCATCAGTCTGGCCTTGAACTACAGGCACTTCACCAGCACAGAGGCAGGTATGGCGGGCGTGGAGCTGCATGAGGGCACCATCCAGGTGCAGGGTCAGAACCTCTTCTTCCGAGAGGCTCGGCCGGGCGGTGGGCAGGCTGCCTGCTTCTCCGTGCTGCTGTTGCATGGTATACGCTTCTCCTCTGAGACCTGGAAGAACCTGGGCACGCTGCACAGGCTCGCCCAGGCTGGCTACCGAGCTGTGGCCATTGACCTGCCAGGTATCTCTGGGGCAGCCTTCTGGACAGGGATTGTGGGGGCCTCACAGGGGACCCAGGGCTGGGAGCTGGGAGACTGGGATGACCTAGCCAGGCTGACCTCTGAGCTTGATAGGACGCAGTGCACACTGCAAGGGCCTTCGGGCCTCTCTAGTCCTCGTCCGAATGTGGTCTGGACATGCCCAGCTGTGTTGCCCAGACAGTGTTTCTGAGCCTCTGTTTCCTCGTCTGTAAAGGGAGATAACCACAATCATTCTGGGGGTTGGCTCTGGTGAGAATGGAATGAAATTATCCATGTAAATTTGTGGCCAGTACCTGACACATAATCTGTGCTCAGCCAATTGGAAGTAAAATATTTTGAAAGAGCCGTAACCACAGGCTCTGTGGAGAAGTGAGACTGAGTCTCCTGACACTCTGTGGACAGGGCAGGGCCTGGTGGGTGGCTAAGCCCTCAGTCATGATTTCACCTACAAAGCTCAAAGTTAGATCCTGGAGAGGCAGGGTCCGCCCCAGACTGCCAGACACGACTGGCAGGCCCCAGCCTATGGTGCCAAGTGTGGAAGGGGCAGCATGGCCGACCTGCTCCCCTCACTGGCCATGGCCAGTATGGTTTTCAGTGTCCAAGGGCGGGCCTCCAGGCCAGGTTAGGATTGGTTCTGACAGTGGGTTGGGTTGAACTTCAAGGCCAAGGCCTTGAACTAATCTCTCTGTAGAAGGTAGGGACTAATTGGAGGGGAGGTATGTGGGCCGAGCCAGCCCCTCAGCCACAGTCCTGGAGGCATCCACCCTGCCGGTTCTGGGACAGGTGTCTCTGAAGCAGTTTACTCACTTAATTTTCACAATTTTAAATGGCAGATACTTTGGTTATCTCCTTTTAACAGATGGGGGTAACTGAGCAGCCGAGAGAGGGCTGAGGGGACTTTACCAAGGTCACATAGTAAGTGGAGAACTGGGCCTTAGACTCAGCCATGTTGGACTTCAGAGCCTGATTCTTTGAGGACACTATACTGCTGGGGGAGATGGGCACAAACATGTAGGGAAATGCCTTATAGCTTGCTCCAGATATGACAGATCTAGGCTGCTTTAGGAATAAACTCAGGTACATTGCATGCTGCCAGAGATTGACCTAGGAGGGCTTCCTGGAGGAAGGAAACCTCTCTCCCCTGTTTTCCTACTCACCACCTCTGTCTCTCCCACACCTGAATCCCTGCAGGTCTGGGGCGCTCCAAGGAAGCGGCAGCCCCTGCCCCTATCGGGGAGCTAGCCCCCAGCAGCTTCCTGGCAGCTGTGGTGGATGCCTTGGCCCTGGGCCCCCCTGTTGTGATCAGCCCATCGTTGAGTGGCATGTACTCCCTGCCCTTCCTCACGGCCCCAGGCTCCCAGCTCCGGGGCTATGTGCCAGTGGCCCCCATCTGCACTGACAAAATCAACGCTGCTGACTATGCTGGTGTGAAGGTACCCCTGTGCGGGAGGCTGAGATGTCCCTGCCGGGAGCAAGGAAGGGTCCATTGCAGGACTCTTCCTCATCTGGGGAGGGGGTAACCAATGAGTGGCTTCTGTGGGGAGCTGAACCACCAAATTCTGCCCTTTTGGTGTACTCATCAGCAGATTACTGTGCCAAGCCTTATGCTAAACTGTGTGCTGGGCAGACACAAATTCATGCCTCTCTGTTCCCCTGCCCCACTCTACCCCGGCCATGGGCCACCTTGTCTCTCCCTCTCATCTGAGGTGACCCCAGGGACTGACATGATGGGGAGGGCTGGAGCTGATCTCCAGGAGACTGGGGCTGGTATGGCAGGTCCCTGTTGACTCTGCCTCCCTTTCTTTTCTCTAGACCTCTGTTCTTATCGTATATGGAGACCAGGACCCCATGGGTCAGACCAGCTTTGAGCACCTGAAGCAGCTGCCCAACCACCGGGTGTTGGTCCTGGAGGGGGCGGGGCACCCCTGTTACCTTGACAAACCCGAGGAGTGGCATACAGGGCTCCTGGATTTCCTACAGGGGTTAGCATGAGGCCCAGGCCTGCTGATAGCGGTGGGGCCACCTGCCTGCCTTGGGCTCTCTCTCATTCTCTCTCCCTCCAGGGCTCCTGCTCATTATGCACACGCAACACATGTGTCTGTCTGTCTTTTGTCTCTTAGGGTCTATCTGTCTTTTCCTCTTCCTCTTTCTCTTGCAGTGACAGACTGGAGCGGTGAAATCAAGAGAAAAAAATTAAGGAATCAAGGAACATAATCTGGTGGAGGGTAATCCATTAGATGAGCTTCCCTTATAGACGTTCCTGCTGGGCCTGCACTCCTTCCTCTGCTCTGCCCAGCCTTCCCCCACCTCCCACCTCCTCTGCTCCTTTGGCTGCCCTGCTGAGCATTCACACCCCTTACCCCCACCTCTCAGGCCACGGATACATACATGCCCACCCACATGTTTCTGGAGGGACAGGCACACTCTCCAAGCAGCTATGCATTGCGCGCGCGCGCATACACGCAAACTGTGCCTCTCATACAACACTTGCACAGGCACATGCTGCCCTTCTCAACCATATAGCATGCCACATCTGGGAAGGTGGGGACCTCATGGGCCAGGCCTTGCAGGAGATCCTCTGCCAGGCTTAGGTGTGGCCAGCTCTGAACTTCATTTACCCACAGGTTGCAACTGGCCTTAGATAAGAAATGCCCCCAAAAGCAGAGGGCCACCCATTCCATCCTCAGGTCTCCCAGCTTTCCCCCCTCCTTCTGGGTGCTCCACAGAGCCTCAGGTTATTAGGCCTGAGTCTTCTCAATCGAGCTTGCTTCCTGCGCTGAGGTTTGGGGGGTGGGGAGACGGAGAGCGGAGGTCTGTGAAATAAAGTGATGCAATTAGACCCCGCAGGCTCTCGCTGTCTCCGGAGCGCCGCCCCTCCCCCGCCCCCCTTGGGACCGCCACGGTGGCCCCTCCCCCACCCTGGCGGGACCAGATGGTCCCCCTGCCCTTTGTCCACCGGGCCAGATGGAGGGGAAGGGAGATTGGATTCCCCTCCCCACCCACATACACCCAGGTGCCAAGAGACTCAGCTATAGGGGGAGGTGGAGGTCAGTGGGACCAGACTGAGCCGATTACGGATGAGAGGGGGGAGGTAGATTTGCGCCCGCGGCGGCGGGAGGTGCGGTGCGGGAAGGGGAGAGCTTGGGAACCGCCCAGCTCCTCCCCCTACTCTTACGCCTTTCCTAGTCGAGTACTCAAGTGTGC